CTCAAGCCCTTGCAGGAGATGAGAGTCTGGAGTGAAGTTGCCTGGATGCTCAGGAAGTGGAGAAAGAGGGATAATTCACATGCTGAATGGTACAGGTGACAGATCCATGGATTGGCTTAAAACAATGTTCATTAAAACATAGTGCCTTGCTCACGCAAGGCTCTCAATATACACTAGTGAACAGTAGAATCAGAGTCTTAAAATTAGAAAGATCCTAAACAACTCCTAAATGAAGCATACATCCTCTCAAGAAGCTCCTCCAATAGTGTTCATCCACCTTGTACTTGACTATCTCCAATGACAGAGAATTCATTATTTACCAAGACAGTCAACTTAGTAAGAAGTTCTTTATACTGAGTTGGAATTTGCTTTTTCTGTTTCTTGTTCTTCCCTCTGGAACCAAACAGCAAATTTAATCCTTTTTCCACAAGAGTGCCCATCAAGCATTTAAAGAGAACTAACATATTACTTTAAAAATCTAATATATTAGACTAGAGGCCTGGTGCATGAAATTCATGCACAGGTGGAGTCCCTAGGCCTGGCAAGCGATCAGGGCTGATCAGGGCCAGGCCGATCAGGGCCGGGCCGGGCTGGAGAGGAGGTGACAGTCACCTGGCCAGACAAAGAAGGAACAGACGCCAGACGCCGACACTGCCATCATTGGCACCCCACCACCGTGCAGTTCCCCGCCTCCCCCCCCCCCCTCCTTCCTTCACTGCTGTGCCGCCACTGCAGTGGGTGGGTGGTGGGCCGATTGGGGCCTGCCGGCTAGGGGGAGGGACAGAGCATGGGAGGTTGACTGCTGGCCCTGAGGAGGGAGCTGGCCCTTGGCCTCCCTGAGAAAGGGGCCCTGTCTGCTGCCACCCAGTCCCAGTTCCCTGTCCCAGCCCTGGTGCCAGGCCTGATTGGATGATCGGGGCCTGCTGGCTGGGGAGGGGAGAGGGACCACAGGAGGTTGGCCAGCCGGGGGAGGTTGGCTGTGGGAGCACACTGACCACCAGGGGGCAGCTTCTGCATTGAGCATCTGCCCCCTGGTGGTCAGTGCGCATCATAGTGACCGGTCGTTCAAGTTGTTCTGGTTGCTTAGGCTTTTATATATATAGATTTGTAGACCAAGTATCTTGTTTATGTAACTCTTCCCAAAATCTTAGAATATCATATTGAAAGAAATCTATTAGACAGTATATAAAAACTCTTGAATAATGCAAGCATCTCTAGAAAGTTCATAAAAGCATCCAGTTGTGTTCTGCCACTGAGTCTTTGGCTGTTGTGGGTTGAGTTGTATCCATCCCTCAAAAGATATGTTAACTCTAATCCCAGCCACTGACACCTAGTGCCTCAGAATGTGACCGTATTGGGAAATAGAGTTGTGTGTGTAATTAGTTAAGTTAGGATGAGATCATACAGGAGCAGGCTGGGCTCCTAATTCAACGAGACTGATGTCCTTATAAGAAGATACCAGAGACAAGAAAGAAAGCAGAGTAAGAACATCATGTGATGACAAAGGGAGAGACTGAATCAAGGCAGCTGCAGGCCAAAAAATACCAAAGATTGCCCACTAACCAGCAGTAGGTAGGAAGAGGTAGGGAAGGATTCCTCCACAGGTTTAAGGGGGAGCATGACTTTGCCAACACTTTCATTTTGGACATCTAGTCTCCAGAATTATGGGACAATATATTTCTGTACCTAGAGGTACTTTGTTACTGCCGCCCAATGCAACTAATACGCTGGCTTTGACTACATTTTGGACTTTCTTTTCAGAAGGATCATTCCATATAGTAATCAACGAAGCAAGGAAAATCATGGAGTTCTTCTATCTAAATATTCCCAGTCCTGAACTGAAACCAGTTTCAAACAGAATCTGTGAACTAACATACATGCTGTCAAACACATGCTGTAGGGGATAAATCTTCTAACCCACATATTTAGGTGTACAAATGTAACTTCTTTATTTTTCCATAACTTGATTTTTAAGCAGCAGCTTTGCTGAGATATAATTTTTATGGCATTAAATTCACACTTTTCATGTTTTTACTTTATACATCATTTTTACAAAGTTGTGTAACCATTACCATGATTTAATTTTGGTACATTTTCCTCACTCCCCCAAAGAATTCCATACCCAGTAACAGTCACTCCCCATTACATCTTTACCCCAGTCCCTGGCAGCCACTAATTGACTTTCTGTTTCCATTGATTTGACTTTTCTGGACATTTTGCATAAATGGAATTGTAAAATAAGTGGTCTCCTGTGACTGGCTTCTTTTACTTAGTATAATGTTTTCAAGGTTCATTGATGTAACATTACTCCATTAATTTTATTATTAAGTAATATTTCATCATAGTGATATATTATATTTTGTTTATCCACATCCATAGATGGACATTTGAATTGTTTCCATCTTTCGGCTACTATAAACAATGCTGCTATGAACATTTGTGTACAGGTTTTTGTGTGTACATAGTTTTCATTTCTCTTGGGTGTGTACTTAGGAGTGGAATTTCTGGGTCATATGATAAATCTGTTTAACATCTAGGGAAGTGATAAGCGATTTTCCATTGCAGCTGCACTATTTTATATTCCCATCAGCAATGTACAAGGGTTCCAATTGCTCCTTACCATAACCAACACTTGTTATAGATGTCTTATTTTGGCTATCTTAGTGAATGTGAAGTGGCATCTCATTGTGGTTTTGATTTGCATTTCTCTAATAACGTTGAACATATTTTCATGTTTTTATTGGCCACTTGTATATTTTCTTTGGAGAAATGTCTATTCAAAATCTTTGCCCATTTAAAATAATGGACTTTATTTTTAGGGCATTTTTCCTAAACCTTGATACCATATCTGCATCTCCCTTGGCATATGAGAGAAGCATTTTTCTATTCCAAATACCATGCTATGGTCATGAGTTGGAGGACCTGTGATACTCTTCCAGGCCCATCTACAAATAAAGGTACCTACAGTTCTTTATGTTTGATGGCTCTACTTTTATGGAAGGTGGGAAAAACTGGCTCTTAAATTAGCATGCTATTTATAAACTTTTGTTTAACTCACACATTTTGTACCCTAAGTCATTCAGGTTCTTGAGGTTTAGTACTCAGAGACCAGTCTTTAAAGGCCAAACTCTTTTCTCCAAAAATTGTCTCTGCCATTGGCTTAAAGATCTATTTTGTAATTCAAAAGCAAGAATCTGACTCCGTTGTTACTTGCCTCCTGATGTCTCTGCTTGAGTTTGAATGGGAGCAGATAACAGGATATAAGGATAAGATATTACAAGATATTATGCTGCTAGATGAGAGGGGTGTCCAAAAGCTGAGTCTAAACAGGTACAGGTTGCACAGGTAGCGAAGCTCAGTGACAGAAAGTGAGCCAAGAGTTATTCTGAAGAACGAACAGCAACTTTGCCTATCTTTCTAAACTATACTTCCAAAATTCCCTGAAAATGATAGTTCCCCAACCTAATATCAATGAAATGTGGCCAGGGTGGGTCCTACTTTAATTATATACATTTCCATAGTACTAGGCAGATGGTGTGGTGGAGATTGCGAATTTTTTTTTCTTAAAAGTGATTTGTCAGGCAGACAAATCTGTTGGTGCTCTCCTTGCTGTTCTTTATTTTTTTAAAAATTTTTTTATTGATTTCAGAGAGGATGGGAGAGAAATAGAGGTAGAGAGATAGAAACATCAGTGATGAGAAAGAATCACCGACCGGCCGCCTTCTGCGTGCCCCCTACCGGGGGGTGAGGGGGAATCAAGCCCGAAACCCAGGCATATGCCCCTGGCCAGAATCAAACCTGGGACCCTTCAGTCCGCAAGCTGACGCTCTATCCACTGAGCCAAACCCGCTAGGGCTCCTTGCTGTTCTTGACTGCACATAGTTGGACATGCAACTTCTTAACCAGTATATGAAGACCTTCAAAGATTTGGGCCTGACCTAACCGTTTTGGCTCAATGGAGAGAGCATTGGCCTTCGGACTGAAGGGTCCCAGGTTTGATTCCGGTCAAGGGCATGTACCTTGGTTGTGGGCACATCCCCAGTGGGGGGTGTGCAGGAGGCAGTTGATCAATGTTTCTCACCCATCGATGTTTCTAACTCTCTATCCCTCTCCCTTCCTCTCTGTAAAAAAATCAATAAAATATATATTTTAAAAAATTTGGGCCTGTCCTTTCCCACCCTCCTATCTTTATCTGATGGAAACACTTTCACTCTTGTTTCGGTCATATTTTACTATGACTTGTAAATTCATGGACAGAGAAAGTATCCTTTGAAACATCTGGATTTTGAAAAAGAAAATTTACAAAACTGATTATTTTAAATGTAAATTAATGACTCAAATTCTTCAGGTTTTTAAGCTAATTAGAATAAACCAGTCATTTTCCCTGCACCTGGGCAAAAATGCATCGAATATCTCTATTAATTGGATTTTCAGAATGCAATCCAAGTTTATCTCTTTAAACTGTCACCTAAATAAAATAATCAATATCCTATAGAGAATTATCAAACATTCAAGGAGGGTTTGAAACTCAAAACCAGTAAATAATGCCAATCAGCAACCTTTCAATCCCTTACTTATAGGACACAGAGGTAAAGAATAGGAGAGAATAAACAAGGGCTACATTTCAGAAGGGAAGGATAAATGTTAAAATGAAAAAGCCATCGAAACTGACAAAGTAAATGACATTGGAAAAGAACAAATCCAGGGATAGGGTGGCACACAGCAGAGGCGCGTCCGGGTCCGGCCCGCTGAGCTGACTTTGGGTGGAGTTTGCCTCCACCTTCAGGGACAAGTTCATTGGCGCGCATCAAGCCACTAGCACACGCCCAGACCCTCTTCCGCGTGCGCACCGCGGGCGGACGCCGCTTGGCTTTGCTCCTCGCCTTTCCCACCTCCGAGCTCCGAGCTCCGATTGGCTTGTTCCACGGAACCGCCCCTTCGGCCGCACCAATGTGGAAGCTGCCCTGGGGCCCCGCCCTCCTGCGGCCGGGGTGCGGCGGCGCAGCTCGCAAAACCCGGCGGCGTGCGGGGATGGCTGCCGTAGCGGCGAGTGCGGGCCGCCTGTGGAGGCTGCGTGCGGCCCGGGCCGAGGGACACTGGCGTCGGCTGTGTGGTGCGGGGCCGCTGCGGGGCTTCCTGCAGCCCGCCTCGGCCGGCGGGGACGCGGCCCCGAGGCGGCAGGTGGCTCACTTCACCTTCCAGCCCGACCCGGAGCCCCAGGAGTACGGTGAGCTGGGGGCTGCCCTGGGCGCTCCGCTGCCACCCACGCGTGTAACCCGAGCCCTGCTCCCGGGAGCCTCGTCCCGCCTTTGGGGCCGACGGTGGTCTCCTCCCGGCTCTGTTTTGGTGACAGCTTCACTCTTGGGAGGCAGCCCTTCTGCACCCTCGACACGGGTGGGAGTCTGGAAGGGCCTGAGGGTGAAGGGTGTCGCCAAGGGTTCACCCCCTTTCTCCGCTCCCCATCCCGGCTTTCCCTTCCCTGGGCTTAGATATTGTTCAGCTTGCCCGGGCCCGGGCCACTCACCACAGGCTGCGGTGTTTACGAGGAAGGTTCTTTATTTATTTTTATTTTTTCCTTTGGCAGATTAGAGAAAACAGAGGAAGTAATTGATTTGATTTTACCAAGGTCACAGAATAGGTTCTTTCCAGAGACGGGAGAGATCCAGGCTCCTGGCTAAGCCTAGTACCGAGCCTGTGCTGGGCTAGGCTGCAGGTGAGGGGAGGAGGACGGCCTCCAGGGCTGCCCGAGGTGGGAAGGACATAGAGCTCACCTCACACTATGGCAGGACTCTTACGATTTCTTCTGCAAGTTCTGTGTAATCTTCAAACGTCCAGTGTCTGTCATCAGAACATCGGGAACAAAACGGTTGCCTTTTCCTTGTCTAAAAACTTCTCCGGGGCTAGAGCTGAAGTGTGTGTGTTTACTTGTGAATAAGTAAGAATGAACTTTTATTGAGGGCTTACCAGGGGCAGGCACTCCTTTGATGCTTAGGACAACCTTAAAGAGGCTGGTCATGTTGAAATTCCCATTTTCAGTTAGGTTATTTGAGGGCTTGAGATAGTTTGCCCAAGGTTACACAGACACATTAGTGGGATTAAATCTCTCCATAATTGTAGTTTCAGTACAAATACAGTCTGCATCATTTAATCAAAAGCATCTCCCATGTTGTTATATAGTTTTTGTGACCTTCTTTAGAAGACATGTCCTCTGGAGTAGAAACACTGATTGAATGGTTAAAATCTTGGTCCTAGGTTCTGTTTAGGTCCTGATAGGTCTTGACACCTGTAACTTTGGACTCATCACTTACCCTCCGTAAGCCTCAGTTTCTTTATAAGTAACAAGTTAATAATAATGCCTACTTCAGAGGATTTTGTTATGAGGACTAAGTAAAGATGATGTGTATGGTATACTTGACACAGTCTCCGACTACACTCAGCAATAAATGGAAACTTTAAATAATTACCATTAACGCTTTAGATATTACACTTTTGCAGTGTTATAAATAATGCAGATAGGAACATTTCATGTGTCATTTATGTGACATTATTTCTTTAGGATAAAGTCCCAGGGAGGATATTTCTGACTTGAAGAAATGAACACTTTAATGCATAGCTCAGATTTCCATTTTATACTCCCATTTGTATGTATGAGGGTGAGTGTTGGGTATCATACTGAAATCACAGGTGTACTGTGATATTGTGACTTATAATAAAGGCTACATATTCAGTCTTTGTTCCATTCCTGGCACTGAGCTCCTTAAACCCTTGGAATTTCTTGTGATGGGAGCAGAGGCCCATGATTTAATCAATTATGCCTATGTAATGAAGCCTCCATAGGAACCCAAAAGGACAGGGTTCAGAGAGCTTCTAGGTTGGCGAATAGGTGGAGATTTGGGGAGAGGGTGCGCTCAGGGAGACTGGAAGCTCCTTGCCTCTTCCTATATACATTGCCCTATGCATCTCTTTCATCTGGCTGTTCCTGAGTTATATCCTTTTATAATAAACCAGCAATCTAGTAAGTAAACTGTTTTTCTGAGTCCTGTGAGCTGCTTTAACAAATTAATTGAACTAAAGAAGTTTGTTTGTTTGAACCTCCAATCTTTATCGGGTCAGTCAGAAGAAGCATAGGAAACAACCTGGATTTGCCATTGGCATCTGAATTGGCCAGTGGGGATAGTCTTATAGGACTGAGCCCTTAGGCTGTGGAATCTGATGCTGTTATTGGAAAGGGGACCTGGCCCTGAGTGTGTCTGCCTAGGCCCTAGGGCAGTGATGGCGAACCTATGACACGCGTGTCAGAGGTGACATGCGAACTCATTTTTTTGGTTGATTTTTCTTTATTAAATGGCATTTAAATATATAAAATAAATATCAAAAATATAAGTCTGTTTTACTATGGTTGCAAATATCAAAAAATTTCTATATGTGACACAGCACCAGAGTTAAGTTAGGGTTTTTCAAAATGCTGACACGCCGAGCTCAAAGGGTTCGCCATCACTGCCCTAAGGCCAGCCGGTAGTCTGTTTATTTTATTTTTTTTTCAGTTTCAAGAAAAATGATTTTAAATATAATAATGTTACATGCAGTGAACCTTAATATTTCAGGAAAAACGATCTTAAATATAATAATGTTACATGCAATAAACATTAATATCTCAACAAAAACAATTTTAAATATGATGTTACATGCAATAGACACCAATTATTTAAGAAAAATGATCTTACATATAATAATATTACATGTAATAAACAAACATTAATATTTCAAGAATAAAAGATTTTATGTATAATAATATTACCAAAACTGTACTAACATAGTATGATAGCACAGAAGTTGTAGGAAATATTAAAAATCTGCAAATAACAGGATTACTTCTATTATATTCTAGAATATTTTTCCCCCTCTGGCTCTATTTTTGTTCATCAGTTTATGTTATTCATTATATTCCACAAATGAGTGAGATCATTTGATATTTATCTTTCTCCAACTTGCTTATTTCGATTAGTATGATGCTTTTAAAGTCTATTTTGTCTGATATGAGTATTGGTATTCCAGCTTTTTTTTTCTTTTCCATTTGCATGGAAAATTTTTTTCCATCCCTTCACTTTCATCCTGTGTGTGTCTTTTGTTTTGAGGTGGGTCTCTTGTAGACAGCATATAGTTGGGTCATGCTTTTGCATCCATTCAGCTACCCTACACCTTTTGATTGGAGCATTTAATCCATTTACATTTAGGGTTATTATTGAGAAGTACTTATTTATAGCCATTTTAATTCTGTATGGCTAAGTTTCTCTCTCTGTTTCTTCTCAGCATTCCCTTACAGCAATCCCTTTAGCATTTCTTGTAATGTTGGCTTGGTGGTGATGAACTCCTTTAGCCTTTTTTTTTGTCTGGGAAGCTCTTTATTTGACTGTCTATTTTGAATGATAGCCTTGTTGGATATAGTAATCTTGGTCTCAGATCCTTACTTTCCATTACCTTGAGTACTTCATGCCATTCCCTTCTGGCCTATAGAGTTTCTGATGAGAAATCAGGTGTCAGCCTTATGGGAACTCCTTTGTAGGTAACAGTTTTCTTTTCTCTTGCTGCCTTTAAGATTCTCTCTTTGCCTTCAATTTTTGGCATTTTAATTATGTGTCTGGGCGTGGGTCTGTTTGGGTTCTTTTGTTTGGGTTTCTCTGTGCCTCCTGACCTTGTGTGACTTTTTCCTTTACCAGGTTAGGGAAGTTTTCTACCATTATTTCTTCAAACACCTTCTTTATTCCTTTATCCCTTTTTGCCTCTTCTGGCACACCTACTATTCTAATATTGTTACGTTTCACATTGTCCCACAGCTCCCTTAAGCTGTCCTCCTGTTTTTTAATTGTTTTTTCTTTTTGGTTCTCTAATTGAGTGATATTTTCAACTCTGTCTTCTAATTCACCGATTCGATCCTCAGCTTCCCCTAATCTGTTGTATATTCCTTCCAATGTGTTCTTTATTTGTGTTATGTCATTCTTTATCTCAGACTGTTCTTTTTTCATAATTACTATGTCTTTTTACATACTGCTGAGCATTTTTAACATCATTACTCTGAACTTTGTTTCAGATAAATTTTTTATCTCTGCTTCATTTATCTCTTCTTCTGGAGAATTCTCTAGTTCTTTCATTTGGGGGTTGTTTCTTTGTTTCCTCATTTTGGTCATCTGTTTGGGTTTGTGACTATGTTTTAGGTAGATCCTCTATACCTCTCAATCTAGTGCAGGACAGTGTTAAAGGCTGTTTCTGACTAATTGGATCAGGCAAAGACTCAAAGCCTCCAGAGACTGCCTCTGTCTACAGACCCCAGGCAATTGTCCTCAGATGTGGCGAGAGTTTCTTCAACAGGGTGGGGCAATTGCTTCTGCCTGGAGGCTTATTGTTAATTTTAATCTCTTAAGTGGCCTCAGGGCAAGGCTTTTTCCAATAGGCTGTGTCCACTGTCTTCCCCCCAGGCAAGGCAGATGTCTATGTTGGAAAGATGTTCTCCACTGTGTGAGGGAATGACTCAGCCCAGGAAACTTGGGGTGTCTGCCTTCTGAGCTCTATCCCCCAAGTCCCCAGTCCTGGGTTCTGCTCTCACAGCTCTAATCCACTCCACCCTCCCTCTGACAGAGCACAAGGTGAGTGGCTCCACAGGGAATTTTTGTGTGTTGGCCCATTAAGAGGGTGTCTGAACATTCAGCTGCCACTCCCTGGCAGACAGCACCCCACTGCTTTTCACAGCTAGATGTTATGTGGGTTCCCTCCTCAGTTTGGTGCTCTCTGCTGGGGTGCCCATCTTGGGGATTAGATCTCAGAGTTCTCAGTGGCAACCCCCCACAGCTGAGATATCTCTCTGGGACTTCAGTTGCTGCCTGTGGGTGTCCAGCCAGCCCCTCCTACCAGTCTCCACCTTCGGTCCTTGGGTATCAGGGTTCTCTCCTGTGAGTTTTCCATTGATTATTCAGGAAGCTTTTCCGTATTTCAATTGTAATTCCATCTTGTTCCTGGGAGCATGTCCTTGCAGCATCCTCCTACTCTGCCGCCATTTTGCAGTCTGTTGGTTCTTGATTTCATGCAGGAAAGATTTTACAACAAGAGTCCAGGTGATTTTTTAAAAAATATGTTTTTATTGGTTTCAGAGAGAGGAAGGGAGAAGGAGAGAGAGAGAAACATCAATGATGGGAGAGAATCAATCTACCGGCTGCTTCCTGCATGCCCCCTAAG